GCAGTATGAATGCCATCTAGACAAATGCAAATTCAATGAATTGTGACCATACAAATTTGGGCTGAATAAGAATATGTCGTGGAAGAAAACAAAGTCATGTTCGCTACCAGTAGGCGACAAAATAAGACAATTTATTGAACTAATACTTGAAAGGTTATTTATTCAATAACCCGTGTAGGCAGGGACTAAATCATGATTCAATATGGACTTTGCTGTGCTTGTAAAGTACAATATCAGTTAAGTGGGAGGAGAGGTTACAATTACTTTCACGAAATTGTCTCCCTACACGTTCTAGACGAGATCAGTTGCTGGGGATTGACATTTGTCGTAAAGTTGGAAACAGTACACGGAATCTCGTGCCCCAGTTTCGCTGGTGGAAAGCATTAACCACTTGGAGCTTGATTGATTGATTGATTGATTGATAGGTTTTACGTCCGCTTCACTACCGAGTAGTTCGGTTATCCAGCAGACGATACCACTTGGAGCTGTTTGTATCACGTCTATATAGGCCGAGCTAATGTCATGCGCAGGTATTTGACACAATAACATTAAGTATCGGTCACATCCAAACATATTGTAACCAAAATGGCACACGTTTATTTTCCTACGCGCATCGCAGATAGCCACGTGATGAATGCTTCCATTGTATTAAATGGCAATGACAGGAAGTGGCGTTGAAATCATATTTTTGTTCCTAATTTTTATGCAAAATAAAAAAAAGGAAAAACAACCGTGACCCAGTGTTAACCTTCCACAGGATATATTTGTCGGGCATCGTGTCATAAACACACTAATTGTAAATGTCTAGGACGCACTGGACCAACGGGGAGCAAACTCCATCATTAGTACCACCTGCGGCGCGTGTAGCCAGCAAGGTCGAACCAGGACGATCTTCTGCTCGCCATTAGGTGGCGGTGCACACAGCTGTTTGCCACTAGGTGGCGCTGAACAATTGTATACGATTGCAAGGTCATTGACACGCGACAGAAACACTACAACACTACATTCATGATGTCCATGACCGAGCGCTACTTCATACACAAATACCGTAATTTCCGGAGCAGGCTCTACTCCTACGATAAACTTAAAATTACTTATTGATTAACCGTTAGACAGACTAATACCATATCAGAAAATTTAATAACATACTGTAATACAATTTTTTTTTAATTCACATTTTGCGCACGCTGACAATTTTTTATTTCTTTAAAGATTGTAGCATAGAAAATGATGTACAAAATGCATGTCCCATCTCCTTGGTGACTTTACCGTCCGTATCGTGTGTCACACATAATGACTTTGTGTATAGCGCCCGTAACGTGTTATAGACAGTCATTCAATGTACAGCGTCCGTAACTTTTGTCACGCACGTAATTTTATACTTCGTCCGTAACGTGTTTCACGCACAATAACTTTGTGTACAGCGCCCGTAACGTGTTATAGACAGTCATTCCGTGTACAGCGTCCGTAACTTGTGTCAAGCACATAACTTTGTACAGCGTCCGCAAGTTGTGTTACGCACAATTCATTTGTGTACAGCGTACGTAATATGTAACAGACAGTAATTATGTGTACAGCGTCCGTGATTTGTGACAGAGAGTAAATCCGTGTATAGCGTCCGTAACGTGTATCACGCATAATAACATTGAGGACAACTTCCGTAACGTGCTACATAACGTCATTCTGTGTTCAATGCCCGTTACTTGCGCGACGTATACTCTTATTTTGTACAACGTCCGTAACGTGTATCATACACGCATAATTACTTTTTGTACATCGTCCGTAACGTGTATCACGCATAATTACTTTTTGTACAGCGTCCGTAACGTGTATCACGCATAATAACATTGAGGACAACTTTCGTAACGTGCTACATAACGTCATTCTGTGTTCAATGCCCGTTACTTGCGCGACGTATACTCTTATTTTGTACAACGTCCGTAACGTGTATCATACACGCATAATTACTTTTTGTACATCGTCCGTAACGTGTATCACGCATAATTACTTTTTGTACAGCGTCCGTAACGTGTATCACGCATAATTACTTTTTGTACATCGTCCGTAACGTGTATCACGCATGATTACTTTTTGTACATCGTCCGTAACGTGTTTCACGCATGATTACTTTTTGTACATCGTCCGTAACGTGTTTCACGCACAATTACTTTGTATACAGCGTCCGTATTGTTTTTCACGCATAATTACTGTGTGTAGAGCGTCCGTAACGTGTATTAATACAGCGTCCGTTAGTTGTGTCACACACAATTTTTTTGTGTAATGCGTCTGTGACGATGTGAAGCACGTCATATTTGTAACATGAGTACATTTTTGATATCGTATGCCAATCACAAAATCAACATATTTATATATCCGTAACTCATGTCAAAACGTTAAGAAAAGTCCGTAACGCAAGTAGAAATTGACAGACAATTGAAGTGAAATTGCAAAAATATAAAGGTACTAATGGGAGCCCCGTTAGTTGTGGAGATATACATACAAGATTTTCTTCTGGCTTAATAAAGCTGTCAACTCAAGGTTTAAAAACACAGTGTCACAGGAATTTCCATTCCATATATTCAGATTGTTAAAAACTTCCAAGTGGCTACCCGATATAACTTGTCTCGGATGGTATATAACCAGTCATTGTATTATAGGACAGAAGTATACTTCAACCGCGAACTGATTGTGCTAACAAATTACTTATTCAAACTTCTTGATCAAGTTTCGTTCAGTTGCAAGGTACGTAAATAAAACCACGTTTGATAAGAGTTATTTCAAATAAAGCCCCATTGGTCGTGTAGATATAAATACATCTTTGTTATGACTTATTATAGTTGTCAACTCATGTTCTTTTTAGTGTTTCGGTGTATCTTATTTAAACCGTATTGTGTCACATCCTATTTAAAACATACTTCGTCACAAGAATGTCCATTCCTTATTCATAAATAGATTAACCGGTCAGGGTATGATAGGAAAGGCGAATTGATTGTCCTATCAAATTATATATTCCACTATTTCTGTTGATCAAGTTTCGTTCAGATCCCTGGTAAGTAAAATTTACATCAAATATTCACAATTTTATCATCGCCCTCGCATGGTTTATATCACCGTCCGTAACGCGTGGCAATCACGTAGTATTTATGCAAGATTTGTCTAATCGTCCGTAACACGCACGATTTTTCTCATGCATCGTCCGTCACTTGTGTCACGCAGCGTCCGTCACTTGTGCCGCGCATGCAGCGTCCGTCACTTGTGCCGCGCATACAGCGTCCGTCACTTGTGCCACACAGCGTCCGTCACTTGTGTCGCGCATGCAGCGTCTGCCACTTGTGTCACACTGCGTCCGTCACTTGGGTCACGCAGCGTCAGTCACTTGTGTCACACAGCGTCAGTCATTTGTGCCAAACAGCATCCGTCACTTGTGTCACACAGCGTCCGTCACTTGTGTCACACAGCGTCAGTCACTTGTGCCGCACAGCGTCCGTCACTTGTGTCATGCAGCGTCCGTGACTTGTGCCACACAGCGTCCGTCACTTGTGTCATGCAGCGTCTGTGACTTGTGTCACACAGCATCCGTCACTTGTGACACACAGCGTCCGTGACTTGTGTCATGCAGCGTCCGTGACTTGTGTCACACAGCGTCCGTCACTTGTGACACACAGCGTCCGTCACTTGTGACACACAGCGACCGTCACTTGTGACACACAGTGTCCGTCACTTGTGACACACAGCGTCCGTCACTTGTGTCACACAGCGTCCGTAACTTGTGCCATACAAACTGATTATGCATACAGCGTCCGTAACATGTGCCATACAAACTAATTATGCATACAGCGTCCGTAACTTGTGTCATAAACACTGCTTATCTATGCAACGTCCGTAACTTGTGTCATAAACACTGCTTATTAATACAGCGTCGGTAACTTCAAAGTGAAAATTACAAAAAAACGCTCGTTGCGAAATTTAAATATACAAGATTTATTTCTTACTTATCAAAGTTGTCAACTCACGATAATTGGTTTATTGGTGTATATTATTTAAAACATACTGTCTCAACAGGAATTTCCATTGTCAGAAACCTACTGAGTACCCTACTTAAGTTTGTCTCTGATAGTTAAACCAGAGAGGTATTGATCAAGTTTCGTTCAGTTGCCAGGTACGTAAATAAAAACACACTTGACAGTATCATCGCCCGCGCATGGTTCATGTCACCGTCCATAATGCGTGTCAAACACGTTATATTTGAACACAGTGTTCGTCATGTGTTTCAAGCACGTAAGGATTTGTCTCGCCGTCCGTAACGCACAGGACGTATTTAGTGCAATATGTGTTGGATCACCATCTGTAACGCAAGACAGACTCGAATCACGGTGTCTGACTTGTTTCAAACACTCAATGTTTGTGATCAACGTCCGTAACGCAAGTCAGACATGTAACACTTCTACACAGTGTCTGTAACATGTTTCAAGCACACAAAATTGGTATTTCCGTCTGTAACGCACAAGACATGAGACGCCATATTTGTGATCACCGTCCGTAACGTAATTCAAACACGTTATGATTCTACACAATATCTGTAACATGTTTCAAGCACGTAAGATATTGGTCTAGCCGTCCGTAACGAGCAAGACTCTAATCATGCAGCATCATCCGTAACGCAAGTCAACACGTGATATTTGTACACAGTGTCTGTTACATATTTCTAGCACGCAAGACAAGACGTAAGGCGCAAAGATATGATCATGCATCGTCCGTTACGCAAGCCAAATCACGTAATTATTGTATTTCTTGTCCGTAATGTGTCTATATTTGTATCGTCCGTAACTTCTGTCCCTAACGTCTGCTAAAATACACAAAAACAGTCCATAACATAACGAAATGTATAAATATTGGGTTCCGTGTTTGGTTAATATGCATGAGTGCAGACCGGTGCTCCGTTACACTGTACAAGCTTGTTCAAACTGATCACAGGTGACGTTTCGTGTTTTTCCGAGTTTTGCTAATTATAGTCACACAGGTGGGGATCTCCAATTCCCATTCCGAATGTTCAAAACTTCCTGGTAGCTAGCAACACGAACCCTGCATCGTTATCTCCGAAAGTTAAAAAAAACTACACACAAAAGGATTATATTACCAAATTATTTTCAACATGCTTATTGATGAGGAGGCTTCATTCAAGTGCAAGGTATGTAAAAAAAAATCACGTTTGTTTGTGACATTTTTTTACAGTTTGTACATAAATCATCCTCTTTAGGAAAAACACATAATATTTACATCATTGTCCGTATAACGCGTATCAAACACGCAAGATTTGTATCACCGTCCGCAACAGGAAAGATACATGGTCACGCATTACGTAGTTTCTATGGAAACCGTGTGACGTAGTGATTAGTTCCGCGGTAACTCGGTTATCACAGTTAGGAATCACGTGACACGGATCATGTGACCCGAATTTTATCATTATCTGCTTTCTTCGTCCCAACAAATTGAACCATCGCATGTTATAGTATTAAGGTCCAAAGGTATAAATTTAAAGGTTTTATCTCAGGACTAGAAAAGGCGTGGTTGATTAATTTTGAGGTGATAAGTATATTTCATTATATTGTATTCAATGCATTGTATGTTGAAAACATTTTTTCCGTATATGTCTTGTCTCCGATCACTGCAAAACATACGGAAATGAAGACACGGAAATGAAGGACGGTAACTCTGCGTGGAGATTGCACTTTCCAGCTCCTTTTACGTCATTGTCTCTAAACCAAATAATAAACAAAATTCGTTTAAAAACAATAATATTTTATTCAAGTTATTACTTGTACTTTGGATTTTTTTTACGTTTTCAACAAATTTACCTTTTGTACCTTTGTGTTGCGCCGGAACAAAATTATTTTCATAGTTTGATGAGGAATCTGTGAATAACCGTCTTCTCGATTTGATATTTCAATTACCATATACTTTTTACATGTAATACTATTCATCTTCGCAGCTTACTAGGTATTTTTTATGGTCGTTTTTTTTTCGTGCAAATTGGATTTCCCTGCACAAAGAAATATTGCCTGCCAAAAATCAAAATTAACCCAACCTTAATTAAATGTCAAGAAATATCATTTCTTACATAACAATGTACTTGTACGTGAGTGGTAAGTATTTATATATTGCCAATCTTACAGACCTTAGCAAGGCTTTGTAATTTTTATCCTACATGTGTAATATGTAATATGAGTACTCGGTCAACACGAGATTAATATGAAACCAAAGTCTGCTTCGTCAAAAAAGTCTCTATTATATAATAGCGATAAGGTTATCAAACCCTCATAAGTTTAATACAAATGTAGGTATACGTAGACCTCTTATACTAAATATACTGGTGTGTGTTAACGATGGATTGGAGTTAAAAATTTAGGAAAACAAGGTCAGAGACTAATAATGTCAAATAAATATAGGGTTAATAATTAGCTAATTCCATATTGGCCCAGTTATTAGGCCGAGGTCTGTCAAATTGGCCCGAGGCCGCAGACCAAGGGACCGAGGCAAGGTATATAACTATAGATCCTCCAGAGATGGTGGCGCCAGAAAATAATGAAAAGGGAAAACACTCGGAGTCGACTGCGCTTTTAATAAATATAAAATAACATATCGGGTTTCCTAGTAATTTTACATGTTTTAGGGGTTTAGATCGACTTTCGGTAAAAATAAATACATCCCGATAATTAAATATTTTCCGAAAGTCGATCTTAACCCCTACAACATGTAAATTTACTCTGAACACCTTAGTTTAGGTCCAAATATAGCTGTAACAAATTCTCAGGTCCCTGTGGCGTGATGCTATGGTAAAAAAACACCTCGGTATAGTGTCACTGGCCATTTGTCCAACGAACTGTAGCGTTGCAGAGGGGTTTGGCGACATAACGAGTGAAATTAAACGATGTTACACGTCATGAACATCGAGGTTTCAATGTATAGTAAGTTTGTATTCTATCTAATCCGACCTTCACGTACCACAAAAATTAAACATCCACGTTAGTCTTACTGATATAAATCTCCACAAATCGATATGTTATTTCATAAATCTTTTGACTTAATACGGGAAATTTGACAGTTCATTCAGCCTTACGGTATGTGTTTATTATTGAAAAAAGGTCCATATCCCTTTTCGTGCGAGAAATTAAAATTTTGTTAATACACCAATCGTTAAATAATTATAAATTAGTAGTTAGAGAACATAGGTCATTATGAATACATGTACATTTCTATTTTGTTCAATGCCCGCTAGGGCTTAACACGGCTTGATTTCTTAGCACACTGTACATCGACTTTGTAAATTGGAAATTTGAGGAGGGCGGGGGGG